ACTGTATTAAATATTTCTGATCTACAGGTATTGTCGCGTTCGTTTCGAAATTTCAGGCTTCTTATGACAAAAGTAACTGACTTGTAAACAGTGTGGCTTTCGATGTCGGTTTCAGTTCTCAGTGGGAAAATTTTTAAATCCAGCGCACATTTTGCCTAAGAATGAGGAAATTCTAGGAATCTTGCCATTATGTTATGAGGAACTGAAGTTCTAAGTGACTGGGCGGCGATGTGAAGGAATTAGATGTGAATGCGGCTGGTGATTTTCTTCGGAGGCATCTCTTCGGAGGCATCTTGTGAACCACATTTGGTATTTAACAGCGGCCCTTGAAAATACTTGGCGAGGTAGAGGATAAGTCTTTCATTGATTTTCATTGTTTTGTTACCTATTACCGCTAGATCCATTGGTTTTCTGTATCTCTGTGGTGCATTCGTGTACATGTGGCAGCGTTTCCGTACTTTCCGCGGTACAACTAAAGCGTCATGTTCGTTGCGTGTGTTGATGGTTGTCGCTCTGGATTGGCGTCGATTGACACGGTCTGAACATTGGATCTACTTGTGGTATTTGTAGGTCGGCAATAAAATGAACGGAGATAGTACTGTGACGACGTCGTCGTTTTATGAAATTGTAAACGAAAAAGGCAAACAGTGTAACTCAACACCTGGTGGAAGTCTGACAACGGAAAATTTACCATCGTTCTTATCCGAAGATACTTCTTCAATGAAAGAAAGTCATGAAAGTGAAACTAGTGAGGATGGTGACGATGAACCTCACTATGAACCGGTTGCTGCTGGCACCAGCAATGCGCCTAATTCAGAAAATCCTTGGGAGTCTCCAAGAATCGAACCAGTTAACGGTGTTGTTCAGCCGCGAGTCGTAGCACCACCGGGTAAGCCTACACGCCATACTAATCAGCTGGAATTCCTGCAGAAGGAGGTTCTTCGAGCCGTACTCAAGCATAGACATTCCTGGCCTTTCGCGAAACCAGTTGATGCATCCAAATTAAATCTGCCGGTACGTCTTTTCGTGTGCTCTAGAGGTGCTGTTATTGTGATCATAGGATTACCATGATATCATTAAAAAGCCAATGGATCTTGGAACTATTGAAAAAAGACTGCGAAATTGTTACTACTATTCTTCAAAGCAATGCGTTCAGGTATGTCACAGATAAGGTGCATAGCTTATGACTGCTTCTAGGATTTTATGGCTATGTTCACCAATTGCTATACGTACAATCCGAGCGGTTCGGATATTGTAGTAATGGCTCAAGCGCTTGAGAAGGTGTTTCTGGAAAAGATTGTTAATATGCCAAAAGAAGTAAACAGGACGTTGTGATTTGTGATTATAATGTATAATGTTAAGGAGGTAGAAATTCCAAGGCCTTCTCATCAGAAACGAGGCCGCCACAAGAAGGGAAAATCTCTTGCTGCTGCTAGAGGTAGGTTTCGACAGGTGTTTCAGTCAGAGCCGTACTAGCAATTTAACGTCTGTGTAAGTTTACTGCGTCAGTAAACGTTCCAAAAGCGTTATAATCTGTTCATGAAATTTTGAATTTGGTATTGTGCTGAACCATATCTCGATGTCTTTTTGAATTTTTTCTAAGTTTGGTTGCTATCTTTCGGTAAGGCATTGTATCGTACCGCAGTTAATCGGAGTTGCATTTTCTTAAGTATGCATTATTGCCTTTGTTGATGTTATTCTCTGTGGTTTTGAGAGTTAACTACTGCTAGTGTAAGTTAAACTTTTCTAAAGTTTGACCGGCGTTGGTAGGTTGAGAAATTCGGTGACTTGAGATCAGAAACGTGACTGTTGCAGCATGGACACTACGATGTTCAAATAAAGAAATACTATGCAACTGCCGTTTGAATAGCATGACAGTTAGTTTTTGTGCTGACTATCCATTGTCTTTAGAATTTCCTCAGCGACGAATCTACAACCTTTTGTTTACTTTCATTTCGGAAGTTTATTCCATATGTGAACTTAATGCAGCAATTTGATATTTGCTGTACAGACAGTTGCAAACGTAGTAGTCTTACGTTAATGCGGCAAACCGGAAGAAAAAGCCTGACGAAACTTCGAAAAATTTGCAGCCTGGATCATTTAAAATAGCAAGTAAGCAGTCGTATTCCGTGTTTTGGTTAATAAGCGGGGTAGATCCTTCAAATTTTTGTAAATAGATCATGGAAATAAATTCTTCGTAATGACGACGCAGGTTTTTCAGCCCTGCGGTGCAAAATGCAAGTATTTAAAACTGCAGCTAACGGTAATAGTTCAAAACTATAACATCTGTTTAAAATCCGAATGTGCAACGTTTTCTGAGCAAAATGGCTATTTGCGTAGTTCTTTGAGCTACCACTGAACTTGTTGATGCAGTGCAAGGTTCCAACTCCGTTCTGTTGTGCTGCGTTATGGGGTGCATCGAAGGTCACTGCGATTTTGTCTTTATCTGGTTCTGTTTCTGATTTTTGCTCGTTGGTTTCAACATTACAATTTTCCGATATTTCTTTGTGCTCTAAGCACTACTGACCTCTAACAACGCTTCTGATTGAAACAAGCAGTTCTCATTTAAAGAATCAAAATCAATGAAATTTTAAACAAACTTCTTAGTTTAACGAGTACTAGATACAGTAGTACTCAATTTTGAGACAGTTGTTCAATTTAGTTCATCATTCTTGAATATGGTGTCAGACGACAGGCTGCTGTTAAATGCAATCACTCATACTTGAATAGCACTTTAAAATTGAACTTCTATCAGTTGAACGGCTATGGGCCTAGTTCCTCAAGTTAAGTAGAAGGCTGACTTTCGCAGCTGTGCTGCATTCCGAGATCATCTGATGACGAATGTTTTTTCCACATTTATTTCTTGGACAGTGTCACCTGTGTATTCCAAGTCAGCAAGATACGTGGCCTGCTATCTGTAACTGTGCCTTCCCTCTAGAAAATGTCCTGTTTTACCCACGTCAGCGGTGTTTCGAAGCAGTGTATGGAGAACGAGGTAGAGCAGCCGAAGTGAAATGAAATTTCGCTGTCGAACAGTTAATTAGAAATCAGTTTGATCTTCGAATGTTTATGAACAGTATCTGATGTTCAGTTGCAAGGTAAAACTAGCGTTTGCTTTCTTTTTACAAACTATATAATGGAAATCAGCTGTGCTGTAATTTCTGAAAGACAGTGATTCCGGATGCAGTCGTGGAGAACGTTTCCGATACGTTTCTTTTGAAAGGTTACGGGTTTTACTAGATTCGGCTGAATTACGAAACTCGACAACAATTTAACATAATTTCATGAGCCGCATCCTCTCGGATCGAGACTTCTTCTGTGTTGATTTGACCTTTTGGCTAGGTCCTCTTGGAAAACACGTGCTAGACATGCACCAATTATCATGTACAGCCCACAAATCGCATTTACGCCCAGTGGTTATGCGATATTGCGCATGTAAAAGTCATGCATGTCAATCCACATGGTAATGGTTGTTCCTTTTGTAGGTTCGATAGCTAGGTTCTAAAGCTGTTGTCCTTCCACGTGTGACGAATAGTGGTTCTAAAGTCTTAAATGTAATTAAGTCGTTTACAAGAAAAAATGCTGCTAATCACTGGCATGTTTCGCTTAAATCAAATGGAATTCACTTATACCAGTACGTTTGGTTTTGTCTGTTCTATACAGATCTGTCAGTTTCTTTGAAGCCTTATTTGTATACTTTTCTTTTGGTGGTTATTTTTACTTCTCGTTATATCGCAGTTCCCGCCCGTCGCAGTGCAAGTTGGACAACCCCCAAATTTTGGAATGACGTCGCGAAGAATTAATAAATGGCTATTCTCCCTAGCTATAGTGGTAGTTAAGTCCTGTTACTCCAAAACGGTCGCCCCAAAAATTGCTGATAGCCGTGTATTTTCAAATTTCGTTCGTTTTGGACAAATATATTCAGATTGACTGAACGGAAGAAATGTCTGTAATTCAATAAGTTGTAGGAAAGTTAACTGGTTTTCGGCGGAGTTGTTATTACACTCAGATGTTTCGTAGTTAACCGATATAGAAAACTGAATAATGTATAACAACGGTTTACTTATGCATAGTAGAAGCAAGCAGTGTGCTCATTCGGATGGTAGACCAGTACCGACGTTTCGGTTCGTCTCTGACGCTCCTTTCTGGTGGTTCGGGTTGATTTCCACATTTAGATCATTGGTTTGCAGCTATTGTGACACGAATCGGATAAGCCTTATCGTGCCCGTTACTGAAAATCTTATTCAGCAGCATATTTCAAAAGCACATCCTTAGATCCAAGGGTCAGAACAACTACAGATCACTGAACCAACTGCAGAAATTAACCCCGACAACTCAGAAGGCTAGTGAAAGACGAGCTGAAACGTTGGTACTGATCAGTCATCCGATTGGCCAACTTGCTTGCGTTGTGTATAAATAAACCGTTTTTATGCTTTTTCATTTTTCAGTATTGTCACCAACGCACGAACTAAATACTCAGTTATCGGTTATTTGATAATATACGGGATTTGTAGTAAATTCAGAACAGATTTCATCGTAGTTGACAACTAAGACTAACAGCATTTATTCGAAATCTTCCACGCGATAGTTATGAAGAAATGCTTATACCTAGCCCTAATTGACCCCATAAAATTATTTTTAAGCAGTTAATGTAGTTTAACATTCAGATGTCCTGGGTCCCCTGAACCGGCTGTTATTTGGCGACGAATCGCCCCGACTGAAACACTGTGCTGTCATGGTGTGTGAAGTTTTGTCAATCGCCTAGAAGGGCTGATGGTGGTCTTGCATATGTCATACAGACTAATCCCCCAGTTCCGTCCGATTTTTACTGAAGTTGTCTCCTCCGTCCTTTAGCGAACCGTGGTTTACATCAAAGCAGATGTGACAATGGCGGCCATTTTTCTTCAAAAGGGTGGCTTCCTTTCGACTAATGGGATTGTCATTAGGCACTGAGGCTAAGATCGAACATTTCGAACTCGTTTCCAGCTTTGCTTTGGTGTCCTGCGGCTGCTTATTTGTCTCGACTAGGCACACTTTCGGATGTATCATTAAGAAATCGTGATTTTTGTTTATTTTAAATTTTTAAGATGTTTATTTCACATGGCAAAACCTTGGATACAACGGACATGAAGCCCATTTATTTTAGACTTTAAGAACCTTGTAGCAGTTCTTTGCAGGTAGCAAACTAATTCTGAAGACATTAAGGTGCAGGAAGCGACCTGGATCTTGTGATAAGCACTGATCTAAACACCATACTGCTTCGATAGTATTGTGTGCTGTTTATTGCCCTTGTCGACATTGCTGATAGCACAAAATTAACAGAACGTTTCACCTCACTTAACGGTCTTCATGTAAAGAAGTACACACATCACGGAAGCAACAAATCGTTTGTGCGAAGGGCATCCGTAGACTGGAAAAAGTTTTACTGCGTAAATTCTTGCAGTTTTGCAGTTGGTAATAGGAAATCTTTAATACGTTGTCCATACGGACAATCCGATTTTTTCCGCCTTCGCCGATAATGCGACCGCGACGTACCGTCCATCGCTTAGATTATCTTGAATTTAAGAAAATTTGCCCGCTTTTTTTTCGACTATGTCAACTTTTGCTATATATTACATATTTTGGTATTTTGTGTCACCGTCATGCAACTATCATTCTGCGCCAATATTTTAATATTGCTTGAAGTTAAAATATAATTGTTTTAATTGAGTGTTGCAGCCACTCATTGAAATATTGCAAGTTGTGTTTGTAACGGGGCAGAGCAGTAAAGTTGTCGTTACTAAGTCACCTACTTAATCATTGAATTCGGCCACGTCTTCGTTGTGTTGCATTACAAATGGTATAATTGACAGTGTTTACAGCTGCTCAGGCAACGCGGGCAACCAATGCGTTCATCGCTTCCCAGAAGCATGTGGCGGACAGTTCAAGTTTTCTTCAAGCGAGTGAAATTCGTTCAGACACGGTAGACACAACAACACCTGTTACGTTGCCCGTGACAACAGCGCCTTTGTCGCTTCCATCTACTTCTACGGCGGAAGTAGCCGTTAGTGATCGAGTGGCGACTTCGACAACAATGTCTACAACTGGCATCATAAGTCCTGGCTCGGCTGTACCAGCGAAGGTTTGTTTTACTTTTTCTATCTTAAGCCATTCATTTATTTCAGATGCAGAAGGGGGTGAAACGGAAAGCCGACACTACTACACCTTTTGAAGATCAGCTTAATAAAGTTTCCACTAGACGAGAAAGTAGTCGACCAATTAAGAAGCCGACACGCGATTCCTTTTATGTTGATGTGCAGGTTCAGTTCAAACTTGAAATATTGTTTCTGTCGTGATACTTCTACTTCACTTGTTTTTAGAATCAAACTGCTAAGCACAAATACAAAGGAAAGCTTAGCGAACAGATTAAATACTGCCATACCATTGTAAAAGAGCTTTTTTCGAAGCGTCATGCGGTGAGCATTTTAGTTATAAAAATTTATATTTATTTCCGTTGCGTAACTGCCACACATCAATTGTCATTTGTCGCTTCGCAGATTTTCGCGCATAATTTTATTGACAAGTCCAATTTTCTGTGGTTTGAAGCACCTAAGTTTGTGTTTCTTTGCGTACTGATAAACTGGTGATGTTGTTGTTAGCAGTGCTTTTTCTTTCTATCCAGCTTTTCTTTCACCTGTATCCCGAAAATTCTAATACCTAAATGGAGTAATTCCTTTTTTATGTGCCCTTACGTTGACAGCTTTCGCTATTCTGTACGAAAAGAGTGGATTTGATTATAGGTAGTTCAACAGATTCGAGAAATGAGTATTTAATGCAACTCTTCGGTTTTATTAACAAAATCGTGTATCATTTCCATTCACATTCACACTTTTTGTTGGTTCAGGGCAGTTCTGTAAAAATTAACTACTATTGATATTGCAAACCCTTGTTTTGATGGTAAAACCTCTTCACTTCATCGGTAAAATTGGGCTTCGCTATAGTTGAAGTTTCAGAAAAGTTCTTATGCTTTATCTTCTGCTTTTTTGATAGGTCTTTGCGGTTTTATTTAGAACTGAAATAAACGCTACATACGTTTCATATTCATACTTCGATTTTATTATCTTAGGATTTCGCGTGGCCGTTTTATAAACCCGTCGACGTCGAAGGCTTAGGATTGCACGATTATTACGATGTTATTGAAACCCCAATGGATTTGGGTTCAGTAAAGGTAAACTTCGGCGAGCAGTTTTAATGTTTTAAGGTTACTTTTTATTTATACGGATGCTGGTTACAGGAAGGAGCATTCTGTACTTCACGAAGCTTTTCATGAAATAAGCTCTGTTTCGAGAAATTGATTTCAAATTTATCAACGCCTTCTGACTGTCGCTTACCTTCTTGCAAATAGAACTATTCACAGTAGACCTAGTGAGGTCCTTAGTCGTAGGTTAACACTGAGTGCCGTGTTGTGCCATGTTTAGTCGATCTATCGAAGTAGTGTTTTGAGAGCTTAAATATGGTCAGCCCTTAGACAGAACTTTAAGCATATCGACTTATTCGGAAGCGTTTTTTCGTGGCAGTCTAGGATATATTCAGAACTTCATTTTCAGTACTCTCAGATTATATTTAAGCTTACATCTTTTGAAAGGCAATAGCTTTAAATGTGACATAAAATTAAATGTGACTGTCTGATAACTGGTAGCGTCACAGATTTGACTTCCGGCACAGAAGCCATCCATCATCAGCGATGCCTCACAAATAACATTGATACAGTAGAAAATTGAATAATTTGCCATTCACTCAGTTTCGATGACAGCTTATTCTTTTGGATCACAGGGACAGTATTATTAGACATCGTCAACGCTCCTTATCCTGTGCCTGCGTTTTAGATTCTACAGAAGATAATCGGAGTCTGGAGCACAGTTCTTTGTGGCACTTCCCCAAGGTCATTCTTTGTCATTCTTAGGTCTTCATCATGAGTCGGTTGAGTAGTAGCTGTTTCGCCTTCCTTTTTTGAAGCGTTTGCAAAACGCGTTAAAACCATCTCATGGGCTACTTCTCAATCTTGACAGTCGGCGGTTGTACACAATTTTTTTCCGGATATTTGAACTGTGGACTCTGTCAAGATGCGTGAGTCCTGTGATTCGCCACACAAAGCCCATATCATCTCCCTTTCCTCGGCATCGCAGTTCTTCCGTCATGATGCAAAACTCATGATAGGTAAGCATGAAAATAAAAGTCGACCTGAACACAGCTTGCTTCATCTTCAGATTCATCTCTACTTCTATAACAGTAGTTTGGAAAGTTCTTGCACAACGCCGCTGGCCATTCTAGTTCGCGTCGATCTATTCGTTCCATTATCTATCACTAGTAAATACCACTACAAGGTACGTGAACTTCGCCTGTTTCACTGCCCGCCCCTCGTCTTCCTGCTGAGCGCCGCGGGTAGCTGAACGAAAAAGCACTGGGCTTTTAATTTTAGGTACGTTGGCGTGCGTGCCGCCACGTCACACTCGTCTACGAATTATTCCAGAGCTGCTGGAGATCAATTTGGGAAGATGCCAGCAAAACAAGGTCGTATGTGAACAGCAAACTTCTCGTCTCCACATCTCCTAGGCAGATGTACTCGTCGCCCTGACTGCGCCTTGAGTATTTTATCCATGTACAATGCTAAGGCAAGGGGACAGAATACACCTTTGGCGGAGACTAATGTTAGTTAGTGTAATCTGTTTTAAGTTCTCAGCTTAATGCAATTTACTTAAGCGCAGCAAATTCGATATACAGTGAATAAATTGGACGTAACAACTGACCATAGATCCAATAACATGCTTCTCGAGGCACGTGTTAACTTGTTGCGCAGATTTTTGTCAGCGGTTTTCGCGAGGTTCACCAGGCACATGTAAACATGATGGGCGATTTTCTATGATTTGTTTAAACAGTCTGGCGTAGGGCAAAGATCTGTTCAGAGGTGTTTCGGTTTGAGCGAAAGCTACACTGCTCTACTAAAACCTTGAAGTCCTTTGTTTGTGACACTTTGCGCCATTGCGTACTCATTTTCGGGTAGTGTCAGTTGGTTAATGCCCTGTCCTATAGTCTTCTTGAACAGGGGTGCTCCTACTCAGTTCAGAGGTTCCCTGATGTTTCCCGTCAGTTACTGCAGTTTGAAAGACATGTGTTTACTACATCCCTTGTTTACCAAAAAGTTTTAGTCATGTAATTGCGAATTTCATCTGTTTCACCCTGTCTGCAGCTTTGCCACTTAAGTGGAATATAAATGTTAGCTTAGAGAAATCGCAAAACAGCCGGTGGTATCAAAGGTGAAGGCGCATTTTTCCAACAAAATTAAAATAACTTTCGAAAGATTGAGGAACTGGGTTATTTGTTGCTGGTAAGTTAATTAACAGGCGGTTACGTTGTTCCTCCAACACTGCACTGTTTTTTATATTGTTATTAAGAGTACTATACTATACTGTACTCGGCCAATCTGTGTTGCATGGAAGATACCCTAAATGTTAAGTTCAGCTTCTTAAATGGAATGTTCCACAAAAATTAGTTCTATGTTTTGTCTTGAACACGACCTTTAAAGTGTGCGTGGAACAAACATATGTAATCTCCATTCTATATCGTTCCATCATTACTCCTACAAGTGAATATTTTCTCAAGAAACAAGGCTTCCAACTTCGAAACCTTCTAGGATCCATCCTGTGTGAGAAATGAGAAACTTTTTATTGGCCTTGACTAATCTTACTTTGTAAACTATTACAGAATTTATGTTAACAGAGCATACAGAACCTTGAAATTATAACGAAAAGAGCATCAAGATAGCATAAGGTGGAATATCCAGAATATTTCGGGATTTTAGCACATTCCTCAAATCAGAAGCATCCTTGACTGTAAAAAAACTGGCATCGCCACCTTTTGAGGAATCCCTGCACATTTTTGACCAAAATAACGGTGTGCAACAATTGTACTCGCACCACTGACATCTGTTTGCTCGAAAATCTTTAATGTTAACCCCTCGCTCCCCATTTGTTTCGAGCTCCATCCATAGCATTTTTGTTTTACCTATGCTGTTTCTAACAGCTGTCTCCATCCATTTCATTATTCTTGCATTTTCTGTTTTACCCCACATGCTGTTGTGTAATTTTTATGCATTTTGCTAAGTTTATATTGTATCATTCCTATTTGTGTAACGTCCTTAATGATGGCTTCAGTGCCAGAAGCCTAAACGTCGGATTAAGAAGAATTTTGTCACATTTTGCGGCCACTGTCTTGCCAAGGGGGCAGTTTTTTCTAGGGTATAAGGGCTACATAGCCAACGGAAAATCAAGTGTATTACCGATTTTTAATGTTCTTTTAGTCCTGTCACTTCTTTTTCTATTTGAGAGTTAAATCAAAACAATGTTTGCGTTCCAATACTGACCAAAGCCACATGCATATAAACGTCTTGGAAAAATTGAAATAATTAAATTCGAAGTTTTTTCCAAAAAAAATCTCTACTGTTTAGTTTTGATTTGCTTTAAGAATTTCTTCATGTAATAGTAGGCGTGTAAGCCTGGGGAGGAGTACAGTTTTGTCGTAAGCATTTAAATGCGCGCAATATTTTGAAATGCTTTTTTTCAGTATTCTGAATGATTTCAACAAACACGATACATACTGGATACTGAGCACATTTCATGCGTAAAACTCCGTTGATATTAGTTGCGTTGCTGTCGGTTGTAAAATAGGAACTATTTTAAGTTTATTAAACTTTCTGCTGGTCATAAAATTTTCTTATTTCAGAGAAAGCTTGAAAATCGCGAGTACAGCTCACCATCAGAATTCGCTTCCGATATGCGTTTGATTTTTACAAACTGCTATAAATATAATCCACCGGAGCATGAAGTTGTCAAAATGGCAAAACGCTTGTCGGTAAAACAGTCATGTTGATAAAACTGCTTTTTCATGCATAAAAATGCTTAAAGGAAGTATTTGAAACTCGATTTACTCAAATGCCCGAAGAATTTGCTTCAACTCCGAGCAGCAGCAGTGCCCCCACTGTAATAACTGATGCAACACCTCCGTCTCGTGGCACAGTCACCTCTGCAAAGCAAGAACCTGCTCCTCAGGCGGTTGACGATGACTTGGATGATGATGAAATTGACCGACGTCTTCAGGACCTTCAAGCACAGGTGATAAGTTGCCTATTTTGTTCTTTGTAGGGAATCAATAAACGGTTATCGTTACAAATGTTTATATTGACTTGGAGGTGTCTTGACATTAAAGTTTTCTGGATTCTCTCATGATAGATGCCTTTTCGCATACATGTGGTGAAGTCGACTTTGATGTAGTCGATAAATTTTTTATGCGTAAACGCAATCCTAAACTTGTTGTTAACCATGTATTTGTATTTGCTGAGTCGGAATTTCCTTTGCAAATTTTCTTAGTAATTCTTTTAGCTTTCAACTATTTCCAACGAAATTTCGAGGCTTATAAATCTCAAGAATCGAAGGAAAGAAATCAAGTACTCTTCGCCACAGCCTCAACCTGCTCCTGTTGTAGTATCTGCAGCACCCGTATCTCAGTCTTCTCGACGAAGATCTTCGACAAAAAGCAAGGCAGATCAAAAATCTCAAGAGCGATCATCAGTACCTGTTTCTTCAAACGCTGCTTCCACTGCCCCAGCTGCTACTGGTGCTGCTTATCTTAGTCAGAATAACATAGTTCCACCAGTATCAGTTGCCTCCCAGAGTTTTAACCGTATCCCCTTAAGTACAAGACCGGTTCATTCTTCTCAAGTGACACAACCTCATCCAACAAGTGCGGCAGTCTCTGCGCCGCAGCAGACTAAGAAGCAGCGAAATGGAAGTACAACGAAGTACGTTTTTTATATTTGTTTCTGTGTTAATTCGATCTTTCAGGTCAAAGCTTAAAAAAGGAGGCTATTTCTTTGATAGTGAAGACGAAGATAATGCGAAGCCAATGACTTATGATGAGAAAAGGCAGTTGTCATTGGACATCAATAAACTTCCCGGTATTTTATTTTACGTCTGTACTTCTGCCACGTTTTATTTTGTTAGGTGATAAACTTGGCCGAGTTGTGCAAATAATTCAGTCACGAGAACCGTCTTTGAAAGACTCTAATCCAGATGAAATAGAGATCGACTTCGAAACTCTCAAGCCTGCTACCCTGCGTGAACTTGAGGCATACGTTGCCTCTTGTTTAAAGAAAAAATCGCGAAAGCCCTACAGTAAATTATGCAGATGTTTTTTCTTCGGTATAGCGGATTTTTTAGCGCCTAAAACCCAAAAAGATTTAGAGCAAAGGAAGCGAGAACTAGAAAAACAGATACAAGATTTAGGGGGTCAAGTCACTTCTTCAAAACGACTGGCCAAAAAAGGTAAAAAATTTTATTCTTCAAGTCGTAAACTTCCTTTTAATCTTTTGAGCAGTTATACATGGCTTAAATGTTGCTTTTAGAAATAAAGCGAAAACATTTTTTAATAGCCCAAAATGGCAGGTTTATGTAATTAACAAATAGCATTAATTGAGGTGGAAAATTATGGGAAACCACCACAACGAATTGTTAAGAAGGTTTGTGCAGCTCATTGATGACACCGACTAAGCAGTGGTTGTCGATTTATTAGTCGTGTAAATCTGACACTTAGAATTCAGTCGTGCATAAGTCAATAAAAGTCGTGCATAATAATTGTAATTTCGTTGTACTGGCAGTGATACCCCTTAAGCAAATTATTCGATATTCGCCGTTTTCACTCCGTTTATTTTCTATTAAGATTCTGTCAGTGGAGAACAGGCACGTAGTAAACGTGTGAATAACGCGGGCGGCAGTAACGATTTGTCGACATCTAGCAGTTCAAGTAGCGGAAGTTCAAGCAGCAGTGAAT